TTCTTTATGTTGGCTCGCAGTTGATGCTCTTTTAACACCTCCAATACCACTATCAAGTGCTCTAAATGCTCCTCGTCTGACTTGTTGTACTTGTACACTAGGATGTCATCAAAGAAAAATAGTACAAATCTCCTGAGGTATGGTCGAAACACCCTTTTCATGAGGGATTAAAATGTAGCAGGTGTGTTGTGAACCAAACAATTTCACCAAGAACTCATAGTGTCCCTCATGTGTCTTGAATGAAGTCTTGGTGATATCCTCTCCTCTCATCCTAATTTGATAGTATCTGAACTTCAGAATCTATCTTCGTGAGCACAACCACTCCAACAACTTATCTATCATTATAATAGAAAGCTTGTCTGGCATAGTCTGCTTATTCAGGGCCTAGTAATCCACAGAATCTCTAGCTCCCATCCTTCTTCTTGACTAGTAAAATTGGGCTAGAAAAAGGACTCACGCTCGGCTTGATGATTCCTGCCTCCAATATCTCCCGGATTAGCTTCTCAATCTCATCCTTCTAGATTTTAGGGTATCAGTAAGGTCTGATACTAATCAGTGGCACCCCCTTCCTCAAGATGATTGCAAGCTTTTTCTCTCATGATGGTTGGAATCCTTGAGGTGGTTGAAAGGCCTCATTGAATTGCTATATATGAAGTTGTGGTAAAAGAAGGATGTCTCATCCCTCCTACAACCTGATTCCCTCCAAACACTGCAACACCACTAGAAATCCTCCCCCCATCTCTTGTATGGTCCTCCCATGGTTTTGAGAGAAACCATGACTTTGGATAACCCCTCATCTCTTTTTATCACTTCCCTCCTTCCCTCCATCATTTCCATCATCAGTGCTCTCTAATTAACCTTGTTGTCTTCCAAGGTTTGCAACCATTTCATTCCCAAGATGACTTAAGTGCTTCCTAGCTCCAATGGAATGAAGTTCTCTCTCACCCAGACCGCCTGTGTGGTCAAAACCACCCCCTTACACACTCCTATATGTCACCAACTTCCTTGTGCTCATCATCACCCCGTAGCACCCTATGTCGACCCGTTTCACCCCCAATTAGTCGATGACCTGGTTGGAAATGAAATTATGGGAAGCCCCATTATCTGTCAGCACCACTACGTCCCTATCTTGTATCTCTCCTCTCACTTTCATGTGTAATTTGGAGTGAATCCTACCACTGAGTTCAGGGAGACCTCCATCACGTCTTAATGCAGATCTTCTTCCTCTTATATCACTGCCTCACTCCCTCCTCCCTCAGTTTCCTCGACACCCTTACACCTGTGCTCCGGTATATACCTCTCATCACATCTGAAATACAACCATTTCACTCTCTTTTCCGGTAACTCCATCTCAGAAAATTTCTTAAAGTTTCTCCTGTCTCCCTTCTACAATATTCTTCTTTGTGGTCTACCTAAGAATACATGTTGTCACCCTCTTTGGTGCTAAAAAGGTGGTGGTCATCCTGTATGAATCTCCTTAGCTGTCGTCTCTTGCCCCTCTTCAAGTTCTTGTGATCCTCCACTAACTAGGCTAGTTCCATAGCCTCTTCCAAATCACGAGGCCTCATCACTCTAACGCTGCCAGAATATCTGGTTTGGGCCCTTTCGTAAGGTTTCCCTTCAGTACAGTCTCTGAAAGCCGATCCAATCGGCTAGGAAGGTACTTAAACCTCTCACAGTACTCCACCATTGTCCCCTCTAGTGTTAGAGCGAAGAACTACTCATAAAAGTTTCCTCCCATGCTGGTTCAGAAATGTTCAACAAGCAGTCCTTAAGGTCTCTCAAATTCCGTATGGGTCGATATCTCTCCTTAGGTACCATGCCAACACTTTCCCCTCCAAGAATAACTCGGCCACCGTTAGTCTCTCCTTCGTCAACCTATTGATGAAAAAGTATCTTTGCACCCTATCCAGCCATATGGATCATCTCCCTCAAAAATAGGCATATTCAGATTCCTCACCCTCGAATCTTCTCTGTTCACCCTGTTTCCTCCATAATCTCTCATTCATCAACGGGGTGGCCCCCCAAGTGTCTCGATAATCCGTTCAATGCTCGGACTCAAAATCCCCTCCTTCCAAATTCAACACCACTCCTGTCATAATTAGCCCCTCTCGTTTCATATTTAACGCTTATACCCAATCCCCTCATGCCTCTCCCCACACCCTCTACACGTCTCCTCCCTAGGAATAGGATCTAGGGGAGGCATTCTTTCTTCTCTCTCCATTGTCTCCAACTCTTGATCTTCTCTTCTCCTTATCGAATTATGATTTCCCCCACTCCCTTGGCCGGTAGCAGCTTCCCTCACATCTGATGATGCCGTTTTGGTTTGGATCTCAAGCATCTTCCTCATCTTCTCTTGCATAATGGCAATCTTCCCATCGATCTTCTCATGGATGGTTGAAATTTGAATTTTGAATTATGAAATTTTTTCTTCTAAATTAGATTTCAATTATCCGACCCCCCTTCCAACGCTTCTATCTTTCTTCCTACCATAGGTATCCAAATCTTGGCTCTTATATCAATTTGATACGCTGTGGAAGCGAAAATAGTAAGTAAAAGAGAAGAAAAACGTGTTAACACCAAGATATGGCTAATTTTTTTATTCTCTTTAATAATAAAGCAAGATAGAATTTATATATTATTCGAGAGGTAGATTAGCTCTTCCACGAACCCTAGACACCGCTAGGAATTCACAACAACACTAAAAAATAAAACTAAGCAATATCATAAACTAAACCCTAGACAACTTCCCCATAAATAGCCCTACAACATAATAACATAAATAGAATCTTCTTAATGAGCATAAACATAATTTAAGAAACCTTCCTAAATAATTTGACCCTTCCTAATTAGTCTAATCATAATTTAGGAAATATTCCTAATCAATTAGCATCATAAAAACATTCCTAATTCTTTCTTCCTTACACTGAATATTAATTTTCTTGGGCCTCACAAGGGGGACCGAAATCCCCTTCTTTTTGCTGCTTTGGTTTTGCCCAATGGTTTTTCTAGGTTTGGTCGGTCTGGGCTGGCCTGTTGACTCTTGCCCTCCTCTGGCGTAACAGTTACATTAATCAATAAACCTATTGACATACTTCATTGAATCAAAATCTACACTTGAGACCTCTATAAATATCCAAGCTTTGCTCACCCATTTTTCAAATGCGGGGGTTAGATTATTTATATTCATTCTATTTTGTCCATCTTATGGTCTCCAAAGGCTATGGGCCTAAAAAATTAGATGCTGCTAACACCCGCAAAACATAGTACCATTGAGGGTTCATGGAGCACTTTGAGTGCTTCAATCAAGGTTTAAAATTGCGTAATTAAGCCTCGAGGCGGTTTTCGTCCGTGAGGCGAGGCGTAAGCCTCGAGGCGGTCTGAGGCGTAAGCCTCACGGACACAGAATTGCGTAAATGAAAAATTAAGGATTTAAGGATGGCCGACCGTGCGGGACGCCTTCGGTTTCGCGAACAGAAGCTGGAAGGGAATTTTTTCGGAAATGAGGGAGACCGTGCGGGATGAAGGGAGGAAGAGGGTTCATTTTAAGTGGGTGGGGCCTATTCTGTGAGGCGTACGCCTCACCCAGAATTGCGCAATTGCGCCTCTGAGGCGCGCCTCAGTCCAGGTGAGGCGTACGCCTCAGCCAGGTGAAGAATTGCGTAAGCCTCGAGGCGTTTTTTGGTCAAATTGCGCAAAGGCGCGCCTTGAGGCGCGCCTCTAATTGCGCAATTTTAAACAGAGGCTTCAATTAGTCTAGTTTTTATTAATATTGAATTAATATTTAAATTATTTTATAAGCATTGTTATAAATTATGATGTACCAATATTTTGTAATAATGATATGCATTATACATGCATTTATCCGACACACGTCTGACATGTGTCTGACACACTATCTATGCTTATAATTGAAAAAAAGAAAATAGTGATCACAGGTATTTGATAAATATGTTATGAATAATAAATTTTAACTTTAAAAGTACTAAAAAGTAGCTTAAGTTAAGACTTATATAATCTTTTATCTTCTATTTCAAAATATATTACTTGGATATCTTAATAACTATTTAATACTAATTCTATTTTCCGTTTTGAACTTATTTTCTTATGCTTTTTTTATGATATTCAATTTTATTTTTTCTACAAAATAATTTATTTTTCTTAGCTTCAAGTTAATATTCTATAATATTATGTGGCTATTTTTCTTCAATAGAGTTTAAGTTGTTTAATAAATTTTAATGTATTACTTATTTTATGAGCAATTAAAGTAATTTTGTTATTATATGTATTCATCTCATGTTTATTTACATTTTTTATTTATATATGATTTTGTTTTAAATAAAATTTGTTTAAATGCTATAAGGTTATGTCCAATGAAGGTTAAATTCTATATTTTTAATTATAGATGTATCCGGCATTCATATAGCATCGTGTCAATGTCTATATTTACATATCAATGCATCAGGGGTTATAAATAAGCAGAGATCATAACAATGCCATGCAAGATTAAGAAAACTACCTCAATAGTGAAAAACATAAAAGATTGTAAACATTTTATTCATTTATTTTGTTTACATGCTTCTTGGTTTGCTGCGATAAATTTTGTTTCTTCCTATATTTAGTTATTTACTTTTATTACCTAGGAAAACTATCTTGGAGTAAGACTAATGATGATGACTTAGGAAGACTTGACTTTTTTTTGGTTTCTTGGTAGCGCCTTGATTGGCCAGCATGAGTGCGTGTGTTTAGTGAACATTGCTAGCTTGTCTTCCAAAATCATAACGTGTGCATCTCTTTACTGTTACTTTTGCATAATGACAATCTTTTTATCTTGTAGTTTCTGTTCTTGGATGCCTTGAATCTGAGAATAATTATTCTTTTTGTGGTTGTTCTTTCTGGCTTTGATCTCATGATATAAATGTTATGAATGACTGTTAGATTTGGAAAGTAGTCTTGTATGCTTAAAAGGTTTAACTGTAACGCATAGAAGGATGCAACAGGTTGGTGAATTTGAAATGCACATAAAGAGGGATGTTGGATCGACAAATACATCAGTATCTAATGCACTTCCAATTTTCTCTCCTTCCACCGCACCTCCCATCCCAAGTATGCCAATGTCCGAATCAAATCCTGCTCCTCAGTCTGCTGCACTTCCACCAAAACCCTCTTCAGCACCAAGCAGTCCTTTTGCGTATGTCTCATCTGTGAAGGAATCAAAACTTGCTGCTTTGGAAGCGTCGGGTTCAAGTGGATATGCTCTAGTGTCATCTCCAACGGTACATTTTTAACCTAATGATCATTTGATCCAAAAAAGTTGAAGTTGTCACGTTCTTTAACTGCGGATTCCGCCTCTACCATGTAGGTTGGCTCTTTTCGGAGTGGTAGAACAGTGAATGGGAAGAAACAGCCTCCAAGTTGTAAAGAGGTAAATTGACAATATCAAAGTTCTTTAAGATAAACTGCTTTTTTCCAAAACATGTATTACTAAAATATTTAATAGTAACTATAATCATTTTCAAACATGTTAAATAACAATTTTCTATTTTTAATGAACAACTACATTCAGGGTGCTGAAATCAAAGAAGGGCAGGTCATCGGCTACTTGGATCAGTTTGGCAATGAGCTTCCAATTAAGGTATGCTTCTTTATTGTTTTTATGTTGATATTTTGCTCAGAAAAAATTGTTTACTTCTATGCACATAACATGCCTACTTGATATTTTGTATGTAGTCAGATGTTGCTGGAGAAGTCTTAAAGATCCTGTTCAAAGATGGAGGTGATATTCATAAATTCAACCAAAACATGTTAGACATAACAATTATTTCTCTTAGTATGTAAATATATTTGGTCATTGGTATTCCTTTTGAATATCGCTGAGAAAATAAGCAATTTTCACACCACCAGCTATTTTCTCCCATGAAAGATTTGATGAACGGCTACATTTTCTTATCTTAAAGATATCATTGCTTGGAATTTTTATTTTTGGTTTTTGTTTTCCGCCATTTACACTAAAAGTGTACTTGTCCAATTCCTGAGCCTTTTGGAGACAATTTAAGAATGTGTGACAATTCACTTAAGATTTTACTTATAGTAAAAAAATGTCAAACTTGCACATGTTTTATAAAAAATTACAGTAAACGTGCAAGTTTGCACCTAATCCACCCTAATAATTCCACTGCAAGATGCTTGAGTTTCATGCCATTGCCTTTATTATGTCTAGTAATCTAGGTGATTGTCACCGGTTAGCAATTATATTCTGCAGTTTATCACTATTGATACTTAATGTGCTCACATGTATTTCTTTAACTTTAAGGTTTACTTTTACTAACAGAACCAGTTGGTTATGGAGATCCAATCGTCGCTGTTCTGCCTTCTTTCCATGGGATAAACAAGTGAGTTGCGTCCCTCAGCTGCAATGCTTTTGTTTGTGAAGGTGTTAGATTCAGATGGGTGCTCGTTTGCTTATTTATGTTCCACTCAGCTCAGCATTTTCGTGACTTTGATTCATGATTTGCAAATCACAAGAAAATTATTGAACTGTGATTTGAAAAATAAATTGTAGCCATCATCTATGCCATGAAAAATTACCGTTTATTCTTTCTTGTTTTATCCAGTGTATTGTATCTTTGAGGTACTGAAGTCAGGACAATGGCATTATAGTGTTCATTGGCTTATTTGGTTATCTTTATAATTTGATTTCAGCGACAGGTACCTTTTTCGCCTTTTTGCTTCTTTGCCTAGCAAAATAATTCAGATATAAAGATCACTTTCGCTAATCGTCTGGATGGCTGTATCTATCTTGTTAGGATTATTGTTAATTTATTTTTTCCTTTTTTTTTTTTTTTGTTGAAGAAATGCGATTATACCTATTTGTCCTGGTTTGCATGAGATTACTGAGCTATTGTATTTTGAATGGTGTTAGGAATGAATGTATGGAGCAGATTCAAGTATCTGTTTCCTACACATATCAAAACCAACGTCTTTTATGAAAACAAATATACCATCCAATGGTCGTAAAGTTTTCTTTTTAGCTTGACTTCTAATTTTCTTCCTTTTTAAATCATAATTTTATAAAAATTATTTATGGTGTCTTTTTTTCCTATTGCCAATATTTCTCGAGGGAAAAAAATTACAATTTTGCACCCAAATAACATGTACTTCTGAAACTAGTAAAAATTTTACATCAGACCGCGTACGGACTGAATAGCTTCTCAGGATTTAGATCCTCCATTAATAATGATAAATGGATAGGTAAAGTGACAATTTTAGACATTCATATTATTTTCAATTGTTAATAATTATTTTTCTTGAATTTTTTTCTTGCTTTTATAATAAATATCTAAAAATTTATAATCATTCAAAGTGAACTGAATAATGAGTATTGATTGCTTTTTTCTCTCTGAATCTAATCCGACTTCGTAGCTCCGACATTGACAAAACTCGAATCCTTAACGGGAAGCTATCCTAGTCCTGAGCCTTAAAAAACATTCTCAAAATGCTTGATGTTTGGCACTTGTTTACCTTGGCAACTAAATCAAAACAAATAATAATAATAAAATAAAAAATATACAATACCTGCTCTCTGCCCCATCCCGCATGTCGTCGACATAGTTCGCACGATCTTCGTATGTCCGGTATCGGATCTCCCAAGTCGCTCGCACGACCCGCTTGACTTGCGCGTCGTTAAATACACGAGAGAGGGAACACTTTTGGTCTCTAGTTACAAAATTTGACTTTGCTTTTGCGACTCCCCTCTCTGTAAGATTGGAAGTTACGACTTTGATCGAAAGCAAACACGGGATCTCGCTCGCAGTGGAGATTACTTTCTTCCTTTTGCATGCTACTTCGTCATCCGTCGTCGCTGTTCAGCTTTGCTACCTCGATGACGTCCCCTGCCAGTGGACTGGAAGTTACGAAATTTGATCGAAACCAACGATAGAGCTCGTTCGCTGTGAAGGCGACTCTCTCCTTTCCCGTCGCTTCTTCGACCCCCTAGTTGCTGGTCGGCTTTGCCCTTGGACGACTTTCCCTTCCTGTGAAGGATTAGAAGTTATGAACATGTGATTGGAGGTAGCAATGGGGGCTTCGCTCTCTGCGAAGGTAACTTTCTCCCTCTCGGGTGCTTCTTCTGCCCTTTGTTGTTGTTCGGCTTCGCACATTCGACAACTTTCCCTTCCTTTGAGATTGGAAGTAACGACATTTGATCGGAAGCGACATTGGAGCTCGCTCGTTGTGAAGTCGCTTCTTTGGCCCTTCATTGTCAATCGACTTCGCTCCAGCGATATCTGATTTGTTCTTATGACATTTTGATCAGAAGTAGCAAAGGGAGCTCGCCATCTGTGAAGGTAACTTTACCCTTTCGAGCGTTTCTTCGATCAAATCCAGTAAATCAGTATAAACAAAGATAAAGCTTCATTATAATTAGTATTAATTGTAATTATAATTAATTATTTAATTATAATTAATTATAATTACAATTAAAACTAACTATAATGAACCTTTCTCTTTGTTTCGACTAATTTACTGGATCAAATCCAGTAAATTAGTCGAAACAAAGAGAAAGAAAAAAAATGCAAGGATCCTTCTCTTGCCTCGATCTGGATGCCAACCCCGTCATCGACATACGAAGGTATAATTTCTAAACTTAAATCCTGCTTTCGACACTAGCGACGAGCCGGTGGACCTCCCTATGCGCTCACGTAGCAAGGGGGAGGAAAACTGGTGCGACACTTGCGACGATGTGGGTAATCCCCAGAGCGCTCATGTAGTGTGAACGGAATAAAAATAAGTACCTATACGTGGGGAAACGACTATGCCCTTTTTAACAGGTACCGAAGACCCCTAAGAGGGCATGTAGCATCTTAGGGATTGAAGAAAATACAATTGCGGTGTTTACGGACATCTACTTGAAGTGCTCATGTGGCGAGGGGAAGGCTAGCTCCCAAAAATTTTCCTAAATGGGGGAGATGTCAGGAGGCTGCCGAAATTTCATTTGAAATGTAGAGGACTTGAACAAAATTTGGACCAACAAAAGACTTGATTTTGTACAACAAGGGACTTGAATAGAACTTAAATTGATTATTAGAAGCTTGAGATCAAATTTAAACACTAATTTGAATTTGATTTGGATACTAATTAAGCATAATTTGAACTTCAATTGAATTTGAACAAGGACTTGGACAAGTTGACAGCGGACTTGTGGACTTGATTTGGACTCAAGCAAAACTTGTGAACTTGAACTTGCACATTGAAGTCGAATCGAACTCAACCGAGAAACGATGGAGGAATTTATTTAAACTCGAAAGGGACAACAATGAACATAATTCAAAATTCAAACAGTAATCAAATATCAAATAAATGAGCACGATGCCATAATATATGTTACGTGGTAGCTTTGATTACTAAACTCAAAATGTAAATATTTGAACAATGGAGCTCCAATGTTGATGATATACACTCCAATGGCTAGTTAAATCAAGTAAACGTTACAAAGCAAGGAAGAACAATGATGATTGGTTGCAACACTTGTGCCAATTGCATAAGTAAACATACAAAAGTCCCTAGATGATAATGTGGGTTGCCACCTTATAGACATGTATACAAGGAGGGTGAAGTGAGTGCAATAATATGCTTGTGAATAATGTATGAAAGATGCGATGACATACTTGCAAGCAGTCACATCAAATGATAATGCACACAATGACTCCCTCTTCATGCGTAAAACAACATGAAATGGATTCCATGATTTTCCTCCAATCAATAACCACTAGTTCGTAGATGGATACAGTAGTTATATATGGATGTAGAAAGTCAACATACAACTATTTGCTCGTAAATCAAAATGAAGATGCTTGCAAGCAATCAAGGTCGACATGCAAGTGAATGTACTGATCTTCTATGAAGCATGTTGATGCATCAAAAATGTGACCGATCCTCTACATGCATACATAGATGACAGATGTGGCACCTTGCAGTTAACATCAATATACGACCAACCTGCATGTGTCCTATGTTATCCAATTTCAACCAATGACAACAGATAAATTGCAAGGGTGATGGGCTCCTTGCAAATATAGATACATATTCAACATCAAAATACAAATAAATATACCAATCCTCTACAAGCACAAGGATTTAATGATATTGCATGATACCTATGACACAACCAACATGTCAGTTATAACCAGGAGAACTCAACATACAGTAAAAGCAATAATATGAGATATTTAGAGGTACCTAAATTGAATGTCAATACACAATGCATGGTGCCCACAAAAACCAACGATCAATATTTAACAAACGTGTTGTTAAAGATTAACATAAAGTGGTGGCCACTGATTTCGAAGCACAAAGCATCAGAAAACTTATTGTCATCCAAGATTGGAAGGATCGATTCTTTATTTAAGCCAATAACAGAAGATGATGTTTGCATAATTATAAAATTGTCTATTAATTCCCATACAAGTTCTGAGAAGAAAGACAGATTAAATTATTATTTTCATGAATGGGTATCAGTTTAACCGAATTTTGACATTGAGTTGGATAAAATTATTGCGACTTGTAAGCTCCTTGAGCAACAGCAGCCATACAACTGATGTTCCACATACGCAGATGTCAAAGCCCTAAGACTAGTGTAAACTCCTACGGGCTGTCGTAGGAGACCCATTACCTATCCAAGATGCCCCTGCACATGCATAGTCATATGTATACATGTAGGTACATAGAAGGGGTAGGAACAATTACAAGACCCGCATGGGCCCCGGCGAGCGTGTTATTAATACACATATGACATCTAGGGATGTTGCACGAGTTAATAAGTGAATGCAAGTTTGAACCTGATCCTTCTATGTAGATCAATAGGAGTCGATAGAGCTCAAACAATCAAATAAATATACAGTTGTGGTGATCGGTATATTTATTTTAATATATTTATATTAGGCCTTCAAGGCATAGATCAAGAGAATTCGCTAATAAAGGCATAAAACATATGAAACTTGATCCTTTTAAGTGGGTACATTGAAGTCAACAAATATGTGATTATGGGGATCAATATATTTGTCTTGATACACTCATATTAGGCTTCAAGGCCTATAACAATGAAAATTCATTAATAAATGCATAAAGCCTACGAAACATGATCCCCTATCGACAAGTTAATAAGCTCGACAAGGTTTAATACAAAACATAAATGATCTCATGCACCCCGATGATGGCCGTGTTGAATGTTTATCTCAACCGGAGGGGTTCAAAAATAATTTCAAATGCTTCGAAACTTTCACTAAATTAAAATTCCTATGAAAAAATAAGTGACTTTAAAGTTACCCGGATGATGGTCGGTTTAATGTAAATTTCAATCGTAGGGGTTAATTCCAAAATTTCAAAATACCACCTAATGTCCCCAAAATCCAAATATATGAAAATCATCCCAAAATTAACATATTTAAAACTTAGATCTAACCATCTAATCACTTGAAGCAAAATTCATCCACCCTTCCTAACAATTTGTCAGGATGGACAAATAAAAATTTACTTCAGCTTATATAGAGCTAATGCCTAGTTGAAAATATCACTAGGATCTATTCTCAAATATTCTCTTACCTATAAAGATGTGGTACGTCTCCTCTGACCAACAATTTTCCATCAAATGAAACTGCAGGATAAATGATCATGACTTGGGGCTCTCTTAACCGAGTGGTTTTGCTGCCAAATGGCACCATGAAATACTA